CGCTGCCTCCTGCTCCCGCCCATCCCCGACGCCCTCGCCGCCGCCGTCGAGAACCCCTACCTCCAGCGCGGCGGCGACGATGGGGGGCTCCAGTCGCGCAGCAACGAGATCTTCCTGGCTTCTCGTGGCAACGACGGCCGCGGCGAGGAGCTGCCGTTCGCCGTCATCTGGATGGCCTGCTGCCGAGGGAAGCTGGTCGCGTTCTCCTTCTGCTCTGGATCTCGGGAATGGAGAGCGCTTTCGCCGCCGGTGCACCACGCGCTGAGCATGCGGAGAGTCATGGGTGTCCGACTGGGGCAACGCAACCATGCCCATGGGTGCTTCTACTGGATGATAACTCTCACCCGGAGGTGGCTCGTGCTGGACACCCGCAAAATGGAGTTCTCGATCCTTGACATTTCGCCTGTCCTGGCAGGCCGCTCGATGATGTTCAGTAATCAGATCACCACTCTGGAGTCAGGAGAAGGCAGAACAACCGTTGTGGTCTCAGATCTTTTTAGGGCGGATAAAAGATGCGTCCTCTACTTTTATTCGTTCATGCATTTCAGTGACCGGTGGCAGCTGCAGAACAAAATCACCTTGCCTGAGGAATGGGGAGACCGGTTTCGGGGCATCATAGGTGCATTTGAGGGCTGCTTATATATAAAGCTAGATCATCCAAAGCAGAACTTGGGAGATCCTGTTGAGCAAAATGTCACATACTTTTGGTTCGATGTCAAGACTATGCAGGTTGGTAGGTTCACTGAGATAAGTGCTGCTACTGTGAACGAAGCCTACCTTTACACAGGGTTTCCCCCATCTCTGTCACTTCCTAGTGTTTGATGCGGTAAGCTTGTTCTCTCTTCCTGTTTTTTTTTTCATTTTTCATTTTATTGTTTAGCGTTATGCCATACTAGATTATTTCATTTTGTAGTTTAGCGTTATGCCATACTAGATTACTAGTGTTGTTTGACATTATGGTTATGTCTTTTGGAGAATCTCCAATTTTTTTGTCCTCATAATTATACGTCTTTCAACCTGTAAATTTTGATAGGTTGCTCTAGAATCTCAACAAAATGATGAAAACAACTCATGCTAGATAATTCACAGTAGTAAGAATGCTTCAAAGTTCTAATCATCAGCTGCACATCTAAAACGTGTTTTTTTCGTCATCTTGTAAGATACTGAAGTTATGGGTACTGCCAGAAAGGATGTTTCCGCTGATTAATGAGCACTTCTCAGTTTTTCATTTCATGGTTTAATGTATCTAATTCACAATCAGAACCAGCATTCTGTTTCATTCTTGAATTCCATGCTAGTTGATGCAAGGAACAAAAGGGCTTCCAAAATTTATCTTTATTGGCTTTCAGATGCTTAAGTGTGACATGGTTTAAGGGTTCTATGTCACCACATTTTATTGAAATCTTATTGATATGCAAAATTCTACTGTAGATGGAAGGCTGATTTCTGGATTGGCTGGTTCCTTGGATCTGGAAAAGGGTGCATGAGTAATGTGTCACTCTTTACAGCCTCATTGTCTTTATAGCATTCTTGTATCGGTACAACTGTTATGGGGAATTGTTGCAGCCTTGGAAGTGGGGAATAGAAGAGGATTCACTTGGATTCCTTTTTGAGGAGCACCAATTCAAGATGATTTGGATGTATCATTTAATGTTCCATTGTTCTCATACAGTCGTACCAGCAGTTATGTGTCACAGTAGGGTCTGATCGAGCCCAGTCGAATGTTGATGCATGCAAATTTCAGCTGTATGCATTAGTTCCTAGTTGGAGTTTTGCCTTCAACCACTAGATTTCCTGAGGTTCAATGTTGTATGCACTATGTAGTGCTTTTGTTAGATTTAGGCTTTGTATGTCTTTCCATATACACTTTAGAAAAATTCTACTCCCTCCGTCCGGAAATACTTGTCATCAAAATGAATAAAGAGAGATGTATCTAGAACGGAAATATGTCTACATACATCCCTTTTATCTATTTTGATGACAAGTATTTTCGGACGGAGGGAGTACCTTGCAAGGTGTAGTACTGTATTCCATATACATTTACCTGAGATGCCAGAGGTACTAATAATATTTGTACTAAGGCCATCTATATTCTAGGTGAGGAGTGGACACAGTCAGTGATTGGCTAATGAGTCATGGGCTTGAAAGCCATGCATAATGGTGCTTCTACTAGATTGTTCCTCTCATGCAGAAGTGTACTGTAATAGACACGCAAACACTCGGGTTCACCATCTTGACAATCTTATTATCATGTCATACTATATAGCTGCATTCAATTAATCAGATAATTTCACAGAAGCCAGGACAAAGTCGTTACCAATATTGTCTACGATTTCTTTCTGCTGGATAAAGCATGTCTAAGTTTCTGTAAGTTCATGCATAAGTCTGCCAAGTGCCATTTGCTGAACGTGATCACCTTGTGAAATGTGGCTTCAGTTTATGGACATCACAAGGTGCATGCATATCCCAAGGAATTCAGCATATGAGAGTGGAACATCTGGGTGAATATTTTTTGCTTGATGTTTGTCAGAATTGCATTTTTACAACCATTTCCTCATCATTGCCGGTTTTGTCACTGACAGTGTATGATATGGTAAGTTTGCTCTGTTCCTTTTCTTCTCTTCCACAGTCTCTGTTTTATGTTATTATGTGGTCTTACAATGGATATTTGTGGTAGTTTTGGTACTTAAATAATCTTTGTTCTACTGAACTATAAAATCTTGGTGGTTCTAGAGGCGACATAAAACAGAATAAATGCCCCTAATTTTTGTAAAACAGGACATTTTAACACCGTTTGTGTTGTGCTATCTATAACTGAAAATCACTGAAATCGTTGGTTGAGTTCTTTCATGCAGCACATAATCTTTGTACTAACCATGCATTGCTACACTATGCTATGTACTATGTAGGTATCATGTCTCCACTATTGAGCTTGCACAATGGATAGGATAATAGTTAAACAGTAGCTAGCATTAAACATATGCAGCATATCATTGTGTTATTGTCCTGTTCACCTTTCTCCTAAGCACATCCATTTGTTATATGTGTTTGTATCCTTATTCACCCTCAAAGATGAGTGCATCCTTCATTTGGGGTAAAATTACATTTGTTCTTCGGTGACACATGGTATATTTCTGTAACGTCGCATCCTACAGACGTGGATTGATATCACTGAGTGAGGACATGATGACTGCTAGCTAACCATTCATTAACGATGGCAGAAGCAACATAGAAGATAGTGACTATCGTTGGCACAGGAGACCTACTGGAAGAACAAGAGCTCTAGTATCTTGGAAACCCTTCGGTTCTATCCTATGGCCCTACCCCAGCATGAATCATGCAGCCATGAACTACTTGTGTTGAACGTGAACCATGAAGCAAAGCAACCTGATCATCTGGCAGTTGCTGTTCGGTTTGAGGAGTTCTTGCTAGTAAAGTGGTGCCCCTTGCGCTGGGTAAGTGTAGACTTGAGAAGAGGACCGAAAGTTAGGGATTGATGCTGTTGTATCTGAAGCTTTGTGGATGTGTTGAATGGACTTCAGGTAAAATGTTTCCTACCATGGAGAGAATGGACAATAATCCACATATTATTCATTTGGTGATTGGATTGGAAATCCTGAAACCTAAGCTGTCATTATTTGTGGCATTTGGAAAATTACGTGTCTTCATGCCCTTTCAAGCACGTCCTGGGCAATCTTGAGGCCCATCTTATTGGTCTCAGTTGAGTGACTGAAAACTATTCTTGACTGAAAACTATTCTACCAGCCTGTGGTTTTTTCGAAAAATAAGGCCCGGCCCCGGCTCCACATTTTATATATGAAACCAAACAAACCACAGACTACCAGCCTGTGGTATGCAGGTTCATTCTACTATAAAGATTATGGGAAAGGTTATTGTGCAGACGTTCCCTAGGAGGGCATGGCAAAACAAACCTTTTTTTATGGCAATTTATGTTGTCACGAGGATGACAAATTCCTTCAGGAAGCATGGCAAATTCTGACAAAAAACTGAACTCGGCGGATATGCCATGCTTGCTGAAGAGATTTGCCAGCCACAGACAGCACAAATTGCCATGAAAATCATTCGCATTGCCATGCCTCGCAGCGAACGTTCGCTGGTTCTAGCGGTCCAAGTTTATTGCTTATGAAGTTTGTCATTGCTATTAAAACATGGAGGACATGCTCGAGCAGCCATACCCGACTTTATTTCTTGTATCATGGTTAGGTGCTCCAGTTAATTTTCTTTGTGGTATGCAGGTCCAGTTAATAAGATCAACGACATTTGACCGAACACCTACCGGGTGTGGTGACCTCCATGGAGGTCGTCGATAGGGGGCGAAGTGTACCTAGATACAAACGGCTCCAGGGTGGACAGTTCCGTCAAGCGGGCGCGTCGGTGCTGGTTGTGGACTTCCGGCAATGCCTCTGTGGCGGCCAATTTGCAGGAGAAAACGTGTCCGGAATGCCCTGCGGACCGATACAGGCCCGCGTTGAATGGCTTCCGCAATCTAGACGGATGTGGGTGGTTTGCA